TATTAAAACCTTATTTTAAAGTCATGTAAGAATGATTTTGACTTGCTGATCATTTTAAATTATTTGATCTGGTGGATCAAACATTTTCATTAAAAGGGTAGACAATAACTCATCTGAGAAATAAACAGGAGAAACAGTCTTACAATTCTGGCTAAGAAATCATAATGTGACTTAGCAGATTGTAATTTTTTGTAGAATTTATTGATGACCAGGCACAAAAGGGCAATCTTTTCAAGAGGTTTATTTTCAGATCAGATATTGTGACATTTTTAATCAAATGTAGGTTTTAGAAAAGCTCATTGTGAGCCAACACATCACAATGACAGATATGTAAATAAACTATTTCTTGAAGTTTTACATTTGCCAAGGGTTATTGCTTACAACTTATGAGTTGCTACAATTTATCCAGTTGGACATCATCTACTACTTCCATTATATTTACTGAGTGTACCTCGTACAATTCATAACCTGTTCTTGTCACTTTTGTGCTTAAACCTTCTAAAATCCTAAATAAAGATGGTGAAATAAAAACATTACAGCATTAGAAAGACAAAAATGTGGTATTTTACCTGTTTGTATATATGAAACCCCAATAGTCAGCAGGAACTCAAGGCCTTTCAATATTTTACTACACTTTGTATTAAAGCAAAACCCTGCATGGAGAAGTGAACAGAAAACAATTGCTTTAATATTATAGTATTCCAATAACTTTATTCAAGCTCAGGGCAGGACTGGGACATAAATTTGTCCCAGACATCTAATATCAAAGTGGCACAGTGGTAGGGGGTTGGGACAGAGAGGGGGTATGTTGGGTCATCACTAATGACACACAAATCCACCCAAAGTGAACATATTATTTCAATGTTCTTCAAGAGCAGCACATGAGCAGAGCCCTACTAATAAGCCCTCTCATGGGGATAATGTCTTGTGTTTGCTTTGCACAGTACAAGCAAATTTAAGGACACACTTGCGCTGCATTTGCTGATGACTTGTCTTTGGGGTTTCCATAAGTGGGATACCAGAGGTCAAAAGGACATTGTACATGCTTTTGGATGCTGTTTATGGTGTGATGTGTGTCTGTTTCTGTTGTGGTGTTTGTGGTGTAGTATGTGTGTGGCTAGGAGTTGCAGAGTATGTGAGTTTAGGGGCTGTAGAGAGAAGGTGTATGTGTGTATAGGGGCTATAGCATGTGTACAAAGTGGATGTAGTATGTGTGTGTGTATATAGGGGTTGTAGTGTGTGGGGGGATGTACTCAATGGTTGTGTGTATAGGGACTGTAGTGTGTGTTGGAGGGATGAAGTGTATCTGTAGGTAATGAAGTGTGTATGTTTGTAGGAAATGTGGTGTCTAAAGGATGCATTTTGTGTCAGAGACAATGTTTGAGGTAGAATAGAGGATGCATTGTTCGGTTTGAGACAAAGACTTTGAGGCTTGTGTGCCTAATGGGAGGAAAACAATTTAATATTTTTTGTTATAATTTGTATTGCAAAAATATAAAGAACGTTCATTCCCCCCTCTCTTCCTCTTTACCTTTGGCCAATGAGGAGGAACATGCATTTCCCTGGTAGTCTGTTGGTGAGAGACTGTAGTCTTCACAGGATGCAGACTGACCACATGTCTCTCACACGCTCTGACAACTTGCAGCAATGCTCTGAATTTTCCAGTACCATACTGATTTTGAACCTGAATCCCAATACTTCTTTGACTTATATACTTATATAGAAAAACAAGCATCACTCAACATTACGTAGGAAACAGCTGTATTCGCCATCTATCATACCCTCAAACACAGCATACAGAGCAATTGCAGCAGTAGACAAATTACATTGAGTATCAGTTGGTCAACATGGCTGCCAACAAGCAGCCAAAAAAAGGTTGTTTTTCCTAAAGAACAAAATCAATACGCACCATTTAAAAAATATCAATCATTTTTAATAAAAGCAATAAACTTTCAAAAAAATTCAACTGAAAAAAAAATCCTAAAACATTGAATTAGCTCCAACATGCTAAACATAGTGAATAATGGCAACCAGTCTGCATAACATCAATAATGGAAATATTTTAAATGTTATTATAGGAATTTTAGTATTAGTTCACAAAAATTAACCTTATAACTTTATTAGAGCTGCTTTTTAAAAAAAAAAAAAAAATGTGATTTGGCAGATACATCTAATATAAGTATTGCTTGGGCTGAGAAATTGAAAATATTACTTATTGCTCATTTATTAAATTGTCTTTAGTTAATAAACATGCATGTACAGTTTGCTAACTTGGCACTGAAAAACGTTCTCTACAGTATCTTGATAATATTTTATTTCACTGTCAAATGTCTACCAGAAACCAGATAAATAAGCAATTATACCACACAGACTAATTACTAGTATTTGTTGTTGTGGGTGACAGTAAATAATGTGTCCCTCACATTATCTATGTATCTGACAGCTGAGGTGATGGTTATAATGAGTGTGTGCTGTCATGACAGAGAAACATCACTTTCTTACAAATTGCTGTGTTTATTTCCAGCTGACTAGTGGAATTAAACTGACCTCAGATATTTTTAAAAAGTTTATTGAGCATAGTAGACAAGCATGATGACAATGCTCTCGTAAATAGTTGTATTGTTAAGATTATCAGTATTTTAATTTAGCATTTGTTAGGTAACAAATTAATTGAATACAAAATGGACAGGCTTGTCTCTGGACACAACCAACCATCACAATCCAAGAAACACTATCTAATACAATAAGTGGATAAAAACAGGCACCGATGAATAATAACTATTAAAACTCAAAGTGAAGTATATATATTTAAAAAGTGTGTGTATATCTATTTAACCCCTTAAGGACCAAACTTCTGGAATAAAAGGGAATCATGACATGTCACACATGCCATGTGTCCTTAAGGGGTTAAGGTGCATAAATTTACATACAGACCAAAACACATCATGTAAATGTTTGTGTATATTAAAGTGCCTGTGCTATTAAATACAGTGTGAATGTTAATGTGCCGTAACCAACACAGAATGAAAGGCAATATCCATAAGAACTCCAATAAAACCCACAAGATGGTGCACACCAACTTGTGAGTTTTATTGGAACAATCACAATCCGAATGCTATAAACTAAAGGTCATGAAGCCTAGAAACTTAAGGTCAATACAGAGCTAAATAGTGAGCATTGTTGGGCAAATAATAGACGTGCAAACTTAAACCCAATTAGCCATATCAGTAAATATTTTCCATTTCAGTTAAGTTAAAATGTATACGTTGCCTTTACGTTTGGTGTGAAACATGGCTATGAATTCCTGTATTTTAATTAGTTGAACTTTTTTTCAGGTATGTTCCTTAACCCATGAAGTTTCCCAGTTGGGTAAAGATATGAAGACTGTTATGAATATTTTGGAAAATTTATTAGCTTTGCAAAGGCCTGTGGGTTATTATTCAACATATGGAACAGTATTGGATGATATGGGAACTACAATAGGTTCTCCAGTTGACCAATTACAAACTAGGATGACATGGACCACAAATGATCCTTGCATGCAAAGACATTCTGAATCACTGATTGGTACTCCCACACAACTTTGCCAAGGCACTGTTGTCTCTGATTTGTGGAATATGGATCCATCTTCTGTAGGAAGCAGTCCACAAAGAAATGAATCAGGTGTACAAAATTCATTGGAAGGTGAATATTATTATACTTCAGGCCTTGAATACTCTCCTTCCCATTATCAAGTTATTCAGGCAGACCATTTTCCCTTTTTAAAATGTACATCACAGCCTTCAGACACAACCTTGACTCCCCTGCAGTCAATTTCTGCTACACTTTCTCCTTCTCTGTGTTCGTCATCTGAGACTTCTTTGCAGCTTGTTTTACCTAGTAGATCTGAGGAAGGCTTCAGTCAAGGAGCAATTAGTTCACTAAGCCTTGAAAATTTACCAGGTTCTTGGGAAGTGGAGGGTACAACGGTAATGTCTGGACCATCTACTGGAGATTTTCCCCTTGACATTGTAACAAGTACATTAGATTTCAAAGACGACAAAGCCATAAATGTATAATGACACCTGATTTTTAAATACTAACATATCATTCAGCACAAAGGAGTCCTTTGATAATGTATTTTACATTCACAAGACTAAAATTACACATGCAAATTGCTATTAAAAATATCAAGGAAAAAAGTTTGACCAAGAATATAATATAGAAAACAGCTCACCGTTTATCTAGAAGCATGGTGGGTGTGTTTTTTGCTACTTATGTAAGCTTTTGGTCTGTGTGCCAGACTTTTGTTATGGACAGAAGGCCCTAAGGGTCAGAACAGCTGGGAGTCGTATACAAAAGAACACATGACCACATTTGTCATAGGGAGCTATTATGTCTCAAAAGCTAAAGCTCTTTCCTGAGTGCCTGATTGTCATTTGCAAACAATGATACTGTCAATGTTTGCTCCAGGTGACCATGACTCCTGCTGGTCTATTTGTCAATTCAGAGAAGACATAGGACAATAATCGCTGCATGTCATCTCCTAGACAATCAACCAAATAGCGTTGGTAGACGGTGGTTAGTTGTTGCACGTTATTTGTCATTTTAATGAAACCTCTTAATTTATTTATCAAAAAATGCTATTTTTATATACTTGGTATGAAATATGTATTTAAACTATTTAAAATATTTATAACTAAATGTCTTTTTTTGGGTAAGAGCTTGCAGTTTTTGAAAGAAATGCACAATTCATATGCATATTGAATTAAACTATTTATTATTAAGAAAAGTTGTATGCCATTAAATAATACCCCCTCTGCATGCAAGTTAAACAAATGTATGCAATTCAAACAATAACGCATACATACAAAAAACAAAAACCCAAGACAATTTATAATTCAGTGATAGGGGATCAGTACAGTAAACACAATGGGTACATATATAAAGTGTGTATTCTTGTTTGGAGCACAATATGCTAAACAATATATTTAACAAAATAAAGCATTCTTTTCTAGAAACAGGTTTTAGATGTTTGGTATTTACCCAGTTTATCAGGATTATGATATTACATAGAATAACAAAAATAATTTTTATATAGCATTTAGGGGAAGATACAGATTCTACTTTTATATAATGGAATAAAGATAAAACAGAAATGAATAATCCACATAAAATAGAAAGAGATCGTGCTCTTTTCTGATGTTTTACCAAAGAACATATACATCAGTAATATAATTCTCTTATGAGTAAATTTTATAATTAATAAAGATTTGATTTTTTTTTTTTTTGGGGTGGGGGCGGGTTGCATATACAAAGAAAATTATACAAGAAGCACACAATAAAAGGTTTTGATTTTGATAAAAGTGGACATTCAGAAAAGGTGACAATGGGTTTACTAACCAAAGAATCAAATGTAACTAGAGCGGCCCTATACACACTTTAAAATATTAAATGGTTTGTTTAATAAGTTAAACATAAATTATATGAAAATGCACAGTACTAACAATATAAAACATGAGTGAGCAATGATAGTTGCATATAATGTCATGGTTACAATATGTGTTATTTTAAACATTTATTAGGAATAATGTATGTGTGTATAATTATAATGGGATTTTGTTATGTTTTAAAAGGTTTTTTTTTTATTTTCCATATCAAGAAGAAATTTTACATATAACATCTAATACACAAAGATGCAGTCTAAAAATAAATACATATTTTGTCACAAATAACTGTTATGACAGCAAAAATAAAAGTGAACCTGTCACTTTTCAAATGCTCAGTTTAAAGTATCTATCCGTGCCGGACTAACTTAAATACATTTTCCTACTTCGAGTTTTTATAGGCATTTAATGTCAGATGATATGTCCTTGCAGCTTTCAATAGGAATTTGGAAACAAGAGGGCCTATTTTAGAACATGTCTACCAAAACAAACCTCTCAAAGTGTCCAAATAATTGAGGTCATATGGTATGCAATGAGCTGCCAGTCCTGGAAGAGCTATACTATGTCCCCTCCTATACACCTAATATGGTTAATATAAACTTAAAATGCACAAACCTAGTTCCTGTATTGCTAGCATGTTCCACAAAAGAATGTCATATCATGTAATTTTAACATACAATTGCAGACCACACGTCTACAGCAAGCATTAAATATGTCTTTGCCTTGTCTACGTCCCCTTATAAACTTATCTTCACCCCTAACCAGGGATGTATCTAGGGTACATGGCAACCTTAGTGGGTTTGATTGTTGGCACCCCCGATATTAATAAAATGTAAAGGTGATGATTCAAGCACCTTAGTCACTACAAATTATTGAACAGATTATGGTGCAAAGAAGCTATGGGTAGAATCTATTCAGGTTTTGTCAAGCCGTTTTCAAGAGGTTTGAAAAAAAAAAGACATAGGTTTCCCCAGCACCATAAGCCTATCCAAAGTGTTTAGGACAACAAAACCATAATATTTCCTTCCTTTGTATACTCCTGCCTCAATGGTAACTACAGTCCCATTATTTTAGCAATGGTGAAAGTGTAAGGGAATACAATATTCTGATTGTCAGATACCTTTTTACTCTATAACTAGGGTGCCCAAAAGGTAGATGTTTTAAAACTACTGTTCCATGATGTTTTGTCATTCTAAAGACATTCTAAAGGTATGCAAAGCATCATGGGAATTGTAGTTCTACTTTTTTGGCCCCCCTGCTCTATAACAATTCTTAAATAATAATTATATATATATCCATTGCATATATGTATATAGATAATTGCATAGTCAGTTTCTGAAGGTAAAATTGATGAATCGTACATTTCAAAGGTGGCAGGTCCACTGTAAATTCACAAGACATTTCTAAATCAGGGGAGTTAACAAAACACTCTGTTTATTTAATTCAAGGGACAGTAATTTTAAGAAATTGGAACGTGCATATTCAATGACCATTTTGTATTTACTGCTGTTTGCTTAGGATGTCCTGTGACAAATAGCATATTGCAATAAGAACCCACATGCAAACATTCCTTTCTGCAGATAACCATGTTTTGTTTTGTTTTTGTTTTTGTTTAGTCACTTAATATATATCATGTTCAAATAATTTACACAAATGTAGTTTACATTAATTGTGAGAAAAAAAAAACTGAAAATTAAAATTACTGTCTTCCTGTACATCTTTTGTACACTTCTTCCTAAACTTATCAATCACACGCAATCATTGTCTATGTTTTGCTTTAGCAAAAGAAAGTGTGTTATAGAACATTGAAAATAGCAAAATGTTTTAAACGTGCCACACTGCTTTTGAGGAGCAATTAAAATGGTATACATTGATCGATAATACAGCAAAAGATAATGTTTATTATATATTAATGTGACGTGATAGCTATCTCAACTCCAACACTATTCTGTGATAATAAAACAAGCACAACCAATTTATTGTTAATAGAATGGAGAAAGGAACCAAATGTGACGATGGAGTAATAAATTGGTTATCAAATAAAAAGGTGATCTCATTAATTTTATATAATATATGCATATATATATATATATATGTATATATATATATATATATATATATATATATATATATATATATATATATAAATATTTACATACTGATGGCTAATATATATATCTTGTTGTGAATGTTCATAAAATAAAGTAAATTAATTTAAGCATGATGTATTTTATTAACAAAAATAAACCTTGTTTTCTAATACTGTTTGCTTCATTTTTAAATGATGAAATTAAAGTAATTGTTTTGTTTTACATTAAAGGAACACTGTACCCACTAGAACAACATAATCTAGATGATGTTATTATAGTGCCTACAGTTGTTCCTCCTTCCTAAATTGTCCCAAAGCTCAATAGTTTATACGCTAGAAGGCTTGAAAGCGTGGTAACAAACCATGCCACCAAGCCCTTCAGGTATTAGAGCAAGGACTGCAAGATCCTAATACTGTGACTTCATGTGCGCATGTGCAGTTCCATCACAGTCTTCCATAGAGAATCATTGCATGCAATGTTTCTCTATGGCAGAAGCGTAGGCACATCGCATCGAACTCTGCGCATGCACCTACATGACCTGTTATCTTTAAGGCGTAACGCTGGATGTAGACTCAGCACTGAAGAAAAGATGAGTTGTTTTATACAGGGCATCAGGACTGTAGCATTAGGAATACATGTCTGTATTCCTAATGCCACAGTGTTTCTTTAATGTTTCCAGTTGTTTGGATTGCTATATGGAGATCCTAAACCATGTGTAAGTATAAACACTGTGTAATTTCTAATGGAGCCTGCAGAAATATAGGGTTTTGGAGTCTGAAAAAAATGACAGTGTCGTTGTGATTATTTGCTTTTTTCACAGGTCATTCTTTTGAAAGTTTCAGATCTGTGGAATTGTTTTTTGTGTGTGTTTTTTTATAATGTTACCTTACGATTCACAGATACTGTACATCACTTTCTTTGAGAAATGAATGTTTTGAAGAGGCAAACCATACAGAACAGATACCATATAATAATAGTAAATAATGTGTAAATAAGAAGAAAGTAGGGTGCAGTTTTTGTCACAATGCTTTTTTCTGTGATAAGTTCAGTCACAGCATGGATTTAGGAAGTTCGTGTAGTCCTAAAATGGAAGTGCAGAAGCACAGTTGCATGGGTGAAATTTAATAATATGATGACCTATATTAACTATGAGACACACTTTATTAAAGGACAGAGTCTACATTAGACTTTGCAATTTGTTTAGTCAGGTGATCGTTTGAATTTCCAACCTCAGAACCGAACTGTAGCCAAATCACGAACCAAACAAAACACTCAATGGTCAAACATGTTAATTTTTATGGTGATTGAATTCTGCCAATGGTGCCAAAAAATAAATAATTGATGGGATAAAAGATTATTGATGGGCTAGCGGACAGTTATTAAATGTTGATTTCATTCACAGATCAAATGAGAAATGAGCATTAGAGGGGAAAAAAGGAGGCGCAGTTAACAAAAATCTATAAAACAACAAAAGTGCTGGTGCACAGAATTTACAAAAACACCTTTAGTGAGACTATGTAGCTAAAGTGCTCTCTGGGTGTATATAAAACAAATAGTAATGTGATTTCAATCCACAATGTAACAAATATGTATATACTTGCAACTTTGTAAGTATACACAAGTGGCATCTAAAATAGGAGACACAAAGAAACACAGAAAGCATTACTAGTGCAAAAAAAGTTACAAAAAATAAAGAAAATATGTAAATTAGAGGCATCCTATATAAGATATAAGGAAGCCAATAACACTTGCAAAAAGGCAATTAAAGTGACTAAATTAGAAAATGAGAAATTGATAGCCAAAGAATGCAAAACCAACCCCAAATTTTTTTTCAAGCACATCAATTCTAAAACAAACAGGAAAAGGCAGACATATTAAATAACTATTTTTCTTCAGTATATATTAATGAGGATCCTATGGCAAGAGATATGCAAATGATTGCTGCAAAAAAACTTGCAGATAACTTGTGATTGGATAACTCAAGACAAGGTGCTACAGCTAGTAAAGAAAATTACATAGAAACACAGAAATATAGAATGTGACGGCAGATAAGAACCATTTGGCCCATCTAGTCTGCCCAATATTTCAAAATACTTTTAATTAGCCTTATCTTATAGTTAGGATGGCCTTATGCCTATCCCACGCATTATTAAACTCCTTTACTGTGCTAACCTCTACCACTTCAGCTGGAAGGCTATTCCATGCATCCACTACCCTCTCAGTAAAGTAATACTTCCTGATATTATTTTTAAACCTTTGCCCCTCTAATTTAAAACTATGTCCTCTTGTTGTGGTAGTTTTTCTTCTTTTAAATATGGTCTCCTCATTTACTGTGTTGATTCCCTTTATGTATTTAAATGTTTCTCTCATATCCCCTCTGTCTCATCTTTCCTCCAAGCTATACATGTTAAGATCCTTTAACCTTTCCTGGTAAGGTTTATCCTGCAATCCATGAATCAGTTTAGTAGCCCTTCTCTGAACTCTCTCTAAAGTATCAATATCCTTCTGAAGTTACGGTCTCCAGTACTGCGTACAATACTCCAAGTGAGGTCTCACCAGTGTTCTGTACAATGGCATGAGCACTTCCCTCTTTCTACTGCTAATACCTCTCCCTATACAACCAAGCATTCTGCTAGCATTTCCTGCTGCTCTATTACATTGTCTGCCTACCTTTAAGTCATCAGAAATAATCACCCCTAAATCCCTTTCCTCAGATGTTGAGGTTAGGACTCTATCAAATATTCTGTACTCTGCCCTTGGGTTTTTACGTCCAAGATGCATTATCTTGCACTTATCCACATTAAATGTCAGTTGCCACAACTCTGACTATTTTTCTAGTTTACCTAAATCATTTGCCATTTGGCTTATCCCTCCTGGAACATTAACCCTGTTACATATCTTAGTATCATCAGCAAAAAGACATAACTTACCATCAAGACCTTCTGCAATATAATTAATAAAAACATTAAAGAGAATGGGTCCAAGTACAGATCCCTGAGTTACCCCACTGGTGACAAGCCCAAGCGTCAAATATACTCCACTGACTACAACCCTCTGTTGCCTGTCACTCAGCCACTGCCTTACGCATTCAACAATATTGGAATCCAAACTTAAAGATTGCAGTTTATTGATAAGCCTTCTATGTGCAACAGTGTCAAAAGCCTTACTGAAATCTAGGTAAGCAATGTCTACTGCACCACCCTGATCTATTATTTTAGTTACCCAATCAAAAAAATCAATAAGATTAGTGTGACATGATCTCCTTGAAGGGCACAACATTCGCTAACTTCCAATCTTCTGGGACTACTCCTGTTAACAATGATTGGTTAAATAAATCTGTTAGTGGTTTTGCTAGTACACCACTAAGCTCTTTTAATAACTTTGGGTGTATTCCATCAGGTCCCATTGACTTATTTGTGTTTCATTTTGACAGTTGAAATAGAACCTCTTCCTCTGTAAACTCACATGTAATAAATGACTAATTTGTCCTTTTTCCTAACTGAGGCCCCTCTCCTTCATTTTCATCTGTAAATACTGAACAAAAATACTCATTGAGGCGGTCAGCTAGACCTTTATCCTCTTCTACATACCTCCCTTCTTTTGTTTTTAATCTAACTAATCCTTGTTTTACTTTACTTTTCTCATTTATGTATCTAAAAAATGTTTTGTCCCCTTTTTTTACTGACTGTGCTATTTTCTCTTCTGTGTGAGATTTGGAAGCTCTTATAACTTGGTTAGCCTCTTTCTGCATAATCTTATAGATCATTCTGTCTTCCTCACTCTGTTTTTTGTTATAATTACTAAATGCTAACTTTTAGTTTTTTACTATTTTGGCCACATCTGCGGAGTACCACAGTGGTTTCTTGAATTTTTTGCTTTTACTGACAAACCTAATGCAATTTTTTTGTTTCCTTCAGCAGTGCAACTTTTAAATAATCCCATTTCTATTGAACTCCTTTTAAATTGCTCCAGTCTGATAATGACTCCTTTACATATATTCTAATTTTAGAAAAGTCTGTTTTTTTAAAGTCTAAAACTTTTGTTTTTGTGTGGTGTGACTCAGTCACTGTTCTTATGTTAAACCGCACTGACTGATGATCACTGGATCCTAGACTTTCACCTACAGTAATATCTGATATCAAATCTCCATTTGGTAACACTAAATCTAGTATGGCCTCTTTACGAGTTGGCTCCTCAATGACCTTATGTAAATGTATTAATGTAAATAAAGCTCCGGGGCCTGATGGTATTCACCCACGAGTACTTAAGGAGCTAAGTGTGGAAATAAGTGAACCTCTGTAGTTAATTTTTCAAGATTCTTTTGTTTCAGGTATTGTACTGGAGGATTGGAAGAAGGCAGATGTTGTTCCTATATTTAAAAAGGGTTCAAAATCCTTGCCTGGAAATTATAGAACTGTGAGTTTAACTTCTGTAACTGGGAAAATATTTGAAGGGCTATTATGGGATAATATTCAGGAATTCATTGGGAAGAAATTTGTTATTAGCAATAATCTGCATGGTTTTATGAAACATAGGTTATGTCAAACTAACCTAATTGCATTCTACGAAGAAGTAAGTAGAAGTATAGATCAGGGTGTTGTAGTGGATGTGATCTACTTGGATTTTGCCAAGGCATTTGATACGGTTCCTCACAATAGGTTAGTCTTCAAACTAAAAGAAATTGGTCTAGATGAAAATTCTTGTTCTTGGGTAGAACATTGGCTTAAGGATAGAGTACAACAAGTTGTCATTAATGGTAAATTTTCAGGCTGGACAAAAGTGGTAAGTGGTGTCCCTCAGGGTTCTGTTTTGGGACCGCTTCTATTAAACATATTCGTAAATGATCTTGAAATAGGCATTGAAAGCCATGTATCAGTGTTTGCAGATGACACAAAACTTTGTAAAGTAATAAAATGTGAGCAGGATATTGCTTTGCTGCAGAGGGATTTGAATAGATTGGGGGACTGGGCACTAAAATGGCAG